AAGTATCAGGTTTCAAATTGCAAATTGTTACTATAATTTTGTGCTTCTTTTGTTAAGTCATTTAATATCTCGGAAACCCAAGTTTTCCATCTTCAAATAATAAAAATTAAATAATAATTTAAAAATAAACTAAAAAATGATAATACATTTCTTAAAAACAAGAGCCAAATGCACTACCAACTATAAAAATGGTACTTTGAAAACAAATTGCAAAGCATTTTCAAGTTATGCTTGTTATCCTCTGCCTAATAGAGACAAGGATATCTATAATATACTTTAGGATAGTTTACATATGCTTCATTTTTAAAATTACATTAAATTAAATTTTAAAATTGAATGCTTAAGGGAAGTAATTTCTGATAGGTATTATACACACTGAAGAGGGGGACACCTGCCTGGCTCAGTCGGTAGAGCATGCAACTCTTGGTTTCAGGGTCATGAATTCGATCCCCATGTTGGGTGTAGAGATTACTAAAAAATTTACTTTTTAAAGAAAAAAAAAAGAATTTGGGGAGCCCAAGTGGCTCAGTTGGTTAAGCGTCTGACTCTTGATTTTGACTCAGGTCATGATCTCAAGGTCATGAAATTGAGCCCTGGGCCAGGCTCCTTACTGTGTGTGGAGCCTGCTTAAGATTCTCTCTTTTTTATCCTCTGCCCCTCCACCACTCATGCATACTCTCTCTCCCTCTTTCTCTCTCTCTCTCCAAAACAAAACAAAACAAAACAAAACAAAACAAAACAAAACCGAAGAGGAAAAATTTCTTTTAAATGTAATAGGAAGAAATTTATAAACATGTAGAAACTTAAGAATAAACTAAATAACCAATGGGCCAAGGAATAAATAACAAAGGATATTAGAAAATACTTTGAGATAAACAAACATGGAGATGCAACCTACCAAAATTTATGGGATGTAGTGAAAGTAGCACTGAGGGAATCTTATGGATGTAAACATCTATTTTATAAAGGAAGAAAGATCTCATATTAATATTCCATTCTACCAACTTAAAAATTTGGTAAAAGAGGATTGAACTAACCCCAAAGCCAATAAAAGGAAAGAAATAATAAGGATTAGAGAGAAGAGAAATAAAATAGATAATAGGAAAGAAATAGAGAAATTAATAAAATAAGAAGTTGGTTCTTTGGGAAGACTGACAGAGTTGACAAAGCCTTAGACTGACAAAGAGAAAAGAGAGAGGACTCAAATTACTAAATCATGAATGAAAGTGAACATATTGCTCTTATCCTTACAGAAATAAGAAGAGTTATAAGGCAATGCAATAAGCAATTGTATGCTAACAAATTATATAAACTAAGTGAAATGGGAAAAATCTGATTTCCCAGGAAATAACCAACTATGACAAAAACTGAGTTAAGAAAAGAAAATCTGAATAAACCTGTAATGAAAAAAGAGACTGAGTTAGTAATCAAAAAACTTTCACAAAGAAAAACCCAGGACTAGATGGCTTCACTGGTCAATTCTACCACATGTTTAAACAATAATTACCATCAATTCCTCATAAACTCTTCCAAAAGTTAGTAGAGGAAGGAGCACTTCTTAATTCATCTTATGAGGCTAGTGTTAACTTGATGCAAAATTATGCAGAGACATCACAAACTTTTCTTTCTTATGAATATAGACCCAAAAATTCTTTTTTTTTTTTAGTTTATTTATTTATTTTTGAGAGAGAGTGAGAGTGTGAGCTAGGGAGGGGCAGAGAGAGAGAGAGAGAGAGAGAGAGAGAGGATCCCAACCACGCTCCACACTGACAGTGCTCAAACCCATACACAGTGAGATCATGATCTGAGCTGAAATCAAGAGTCAGGTGCTTAACCCACAGAGCTACCCAGACACCCCCTAGACACAGAAATTCTTAACAAAATGATAAAAATAAAATCCAGCAATATATAGAAAGGATTTTATGCCATGGTGAACTGGAATTTATCTAAGAAATGCAAGGTTGGTTCAACATGTAGAAATCAATGTCATATGGCATCTTAAGAAAATAAGAGATAAAAATCACACAATAATCTCAATATGCCAAGAAAAGGCATATGGCAAAATCAAACACCTTTGCACGATAAAAACATTCAACAAACTCGTACTAGAAGTGGGCTTCCTCATCCTGATAAGGGGCATATATGAAAAATGCACTATAACATCATACTTAATGGTGAAAGCATTCCCTATAATTAGGAGCAAAACGAGAACGTTTCCTCTCACTACTTCTATTCAGTGTTGTATTGGAGGTTCTAGCCAGGGCAAATTGATAAGAAAATAAAATAAAAAGCATCTAAAAATTAAAAAATAAAAAGCATCTAGATTGAAAAAGGAGAAGTAAAACTATATTTGTAAAATCTTGTGTATAGAAAATCCAAAGGAATACACACATGCACAATTTAGGACCAAAAAATGGATTAAGCAAGATGGCAAGATACAATATCAGTATATGAAAATACATTGTATTTCTATACAGTAGTAATGAACAATCCAAAAACAAAATTAAGCAAATGATTCCATTTACAATAGCATGAAAATGAATAAAATATTAAGAATAAATTTGACAAAAGAAATGCAAGGCTTCTATGTTGAAAACTACAAACATCATAAAAAAATTAAAGACAGCCTAAAATAAACAGAAAGTTGTCCTATATTTGTAGATTATAAGATTTAAGATTGTTAAAATGGCAATACTTCGCAACTTGATCTGAAGATTTGATGCCACCCCATCACAATCCCAGCTGACATTTTGCAGAAATTGACTAGTTAATCCTAAGTTTCATATGAAAACTCGAGTGAATCAGAATAGTGAAAATAACGCTGAAAAAGAAGGAAAAAGTTGGAGGACTCACATTTTCTGATTTCAAAACTTAATGCAAATGGGAATCAAAAGTGTATGATTCTGGCATAGAAACAGATACAGATTTGAGTCCAGAAAGAAACCTCATACATTTATGGCCAACTGATTTTCATTGAGAGTGCCAAGACAATTCAAATAGGGAAAGAATAGTCCTTTCAACAAAAGGTGTTAGGACAACTGGTTAATTGTGTGCAAAAGAATGAAGCTGGACACCTACCTCACACCATATACAAAATTAAAGACTTAAATGGAAAAGCTAACATTACAAAATTCTTAGAAGAGACGATTGGTATAAATCTTTGTGACCTTGAGTTGAGCAATGGTTTCTTAGATTTGACCTCACTGGTGGAAGGAAACCAGAATATGTCACCTTGAAATATGCCTCTTTGGCATAAAAATTATTTTAAACTGCAGCCAATTAAGAGGCAGCCAATGCAGAAAAAGCTTTTCTGCTAAGGGCAGGATACATATTTTCCTTTTACTGGAGACAGACTTTTATCAGCCCAGAAAAGGCACTAAGGGAATCTGCAAATAAACCTTACTGGGGTGTCTGGGTGGCTCAGTTGCTTAAGTGTCACTCTTGATTTTGGCTCAGGTCATGATCTCAGGGTGGAGAGATAGAGCCCTGTGTTGCTGGCTGTTCTAGGCATGGTGCTTGCTCTTTCCCTTTCCTTCTCCACCCCGACCCCTGCAAATTGAGCATGCTTGCATGGTGTACACTTTCTCTCTCTCTTTCCCTCTCTCTCTCTCTCTCTCTCTCTCTCTCTCTCTCAAAAAAAAAGTCTCAAAAAAAGTCCATCAATTTCCTTCTATATATTTACCCTCCCTTAGTTTTCCACCCTTGGAAGCCTAAACTACTTTCTTTGGTACAATCATTTAGCTGCGAACTTGTTGTTCTTTGTTAAAGATGCTATATAAGCCAAAATTCTAAGCAACTGCTTTGAGTTACTCTTTGTTTGAGGCCTCTCATGTGATGTGTGCTGTCCACATTTATTTTTTATCTTGTTTTTTATCTTGTTAATCTGTCTTCTTGTTAAAGAGTCCCAGCTGAAAACCTAAAATGGGTAGAGGTACAGATTTACCTTCCCTACATGACAGAAAAAAATATAGGTAAATTTTCCTTCCTTAAAATTAAAGATTATAGTGCTTCAAAAGTTACATCAAGAAAATGAAAAGACAACCTGCAGAGTAGGAGAAAATATGTGTAAACTATCTACCCAATAAGGCTCTGGTCTTTAAAATATATTAAAAAATGCTTACAACTCAACAATAAAAAATAACCCAATTTTTAAAAAATAAGGAAGAACTAAATAGACATTTTCCCAAAGAAGATATACAAATGGTTGGCAAGTAGATAAAAAGGTCACTAGTCATTAGTGAAATGTAAATCAAAACCACAATGACATGCACTAGAATAGCTATGATGAGAAAGACCGACAACGAGTATTGATTAGAAAGTGGAGAATTGGTGCCTTCATACATTTCTGGTGGTACTGTCATATTGTAGAGCTCCTCGGGAAATCAGTTCCTCAAAAAGTTAAAACGTAGAGTTACCATGTGACTTGGTAATTTCACTTTAAGATACATACCCCCAAGAGAAATGAAAAGATATGGTCATAAAAACTTGTATAAGAATATTCATAGCAGCATTATTTATAATAGCCAAAAAGTAGAAGCAACTGAAATGTCCATTAACTAATAAATAAAATGTGGTATATCCATACCATAAAATATTATTCACTCACAAAAAAGAATGAACTACAGATAAATGCTATAGCATGGATGAACCTACGAACATTATGCTAAGTGAAAGTCAGACACGGAAGAAAGTCAGACACGGAAGATCGTATACAATACGACTCCATTTATATGAAATTTCTAAAATATGCAAAGAGACAGACAGTAGTTTAGTGGTTGCTGGGGAGGGTGGGAGTAGGGGGAAGTGGGAAGTGATTGGTAAGAGATATAGGGTTTCTTTATGGGGTGATAAAAAATGTTCCAGAATTTGATACTGGTGATGGTTGCAGAATCTTGTGAGTATCCTAAAAACCATTGAATTGTACACTTCAAAAGAGTGACTATTATGGTATATGAATTATACTAATGGAAGAAAAGTGATTGAAAATGATGACTACTTACCTTCATCTTTAATTGTTGAAGTTAATGAAGAAAGTGTGGGCAGCAAAGATGAATTTAAGGATTCCTTATTTGCTGTTCCTAGTTTGATAAGATAGATGACATTATTATTAATCACAATTTCATCTCACCTGCCAAGGAACAAATAAAAGTCAGTCAAATCTGGAGGTGAACTACAATCCCTCTGCAGAGGTACTGGGTCAGCCTTTGCCTAACTTTAATTTTCTACTTTCTATCTCCTTTTGTCTGAAATAAGGAATATAAGTACTGAAAACTTGGGATGACCCAGTGAAAGCACACACACACACACACACACACACACACACACACACACACACATTTTTTCTGTGATAGGCCCCTAAAGCAAATTTTCACTGCAGATAGTTACTTGGGTATCTTTAAATATATATATTAAAAACAAATATTTTAAAATTATTTTGTTTTTCCTAAAGAGAAAAATAACCTAGTCAATAGAACTTTCACATCCCACCCAGAATTACATTTCATTTTGCTGATTTAGTTATGACATTGGAACTTCCCAAATTACATAAATCATAAAGGAGTTTGCAAACTATTGTAATTAATTTGTCCATTTATGAAACATTCATTGAGTTCCCAGTCAAATGGGTGCAAGACCCATTTCTAGATTCTTGAAGGCAGTAGTTAACTCTTAGTCATCTCTTTAATCTGAGTAGTATCAAGGTTAATTCCTGGCATATGGTAGGCAAGTAGTAAATGTTTCAGATAAGGTGCTACTCATACAGGACATGGGGACCAACAAAAAGACGAAGATCCTCTTTAAGTAGTGAATACGACTTAACAGTTTGACACCTGTAATTGTCAACATTCCCTTCTTAAAACACATTAGGATACCCTTTTGTGATTAGGACATAATGTTCCATTTTTACTATGTGGCATATATAAAATCCCAGAATGCGCACTGTTTTGGTGGGGGAGGGGAGGAAAAATTTGGCTCTGGACAGTTTAACACTTTAAAACCCATCCAGAAGAGAGTTGTCAAGGTTAAGTTGGCTGGAGCTGTATATCGGAAAATACTAAGGAATGACAAGGAAGTTAAGACCTTTGGAGGAACACTGTGGACACACGCCTCCAAGCAGGGGGTGAAGGATTTGTCTTCTGCCCCTCTGTCCTCACCACTTATTAGAGGACCTTGGTTATTATAGAAATGGAAAGTGGCTGTAACAGGTGGATTCTGTGAATTATAACATGGAGATTGGTGAAGCACTTAAGAGTTTCTCAAAGTCTTCTACACCCAATATGTGGTTATATTTTAAAAGAAGAAACCAACAAAGGAAACGTTATTCCTAAAAGCTAGGTTTGGGATTTTGCATTGCCCACTCACACAATGCCATCTTAAAGTAAAGATGTAATGATACAAATGAAGTGTCCCTTCCAGCCAGGTGTGGCGCCTTGGTTTTCACTTCATCACTACCAGTCTTGGAATCTTGGTACTAATAAGAGGCTGACTTGAATTTTTACAGTCACCTTGTTTCCTGTGTTTCACTGGTATATGTCTCATATATCGCTTGGAAATTCAAGAATGGGGAAGATTACAGGAAATAATTAGGACACATATAACAATAATCATGAATATAAACAGAAAAAGTATCAACTGTGCATAATTCTTGGGTTTCTGAGGACCTTGCCCCCCCCCTTTTTTAATACCTATCCTGACTTCATGTTTGATAGAGGGAAGATGTGTAACAAATTTGAGCTTTGGCCCACACATTCAGCCCAAATCTGTTTGGCTTCAGTTTCAGCCTTGGTCTTTGGAAAAGCAAGAGGTAAATGGCTATCCATTTCTGGTGTTCCTGAGCTTGTGTGTGAACAGTGATCTTGTGATCATGCCCATGATCATTGTAACTAATCAATATAACTCTATCTATAGCAAAACAGAGCACAATTTATTTTAGCTTTATTGTTAATGTATGAATATTCACTTTCAAATATGGATAAGCAATCTACATATAACTTACAATAAAATTCTTCTTATGTGTTAAATATGTTGAAATTCTGAAGTATAAATGCATCCTTATTATTGTAAAAATCATCAGGGTTTAAAGAAAATGTCTAATTTATAAGCATTTTATATCTCGTGAGTATAAACTAAAAGCAAATGTCAGTTTGGCCACCACAAAATTCCATGACAAGGAAACAACAAAAAAATTTGTACAAAGATATCCCAGGTAAGTCATTTCCACTTCAAACTCAATAAGGAATGTAAAGACAATGGAGAACAGAAGGAAGATATGGAGAAAAACGTGGTACCCAAACCTTTTTTTGCCCCCAATATTATAAGAAAGCTTAGAAGACTGTCTTTCATACAGTCTGTTCTTTCCAGTTTTACGGTAGTCAGGTTCCAGAGAGGACGTCCATCATAAACGTCACCATAACTGGCACGCTATACGGAAGAGATGGCCAAAATTACCTGGCCCCTCTACTGACCTCAGTTGGAACTGAACATCTATTGAGTATCAGAAATGTGAAATATTAGTGCTGACAAATTAATTCAGCTAATTAAAGAATGTTTGACTCTTAAGTGCTTTAAAAATCAAGCTGAGGGGCGCCTGGGTGGCTCGGTCGGTTAAGCGGCCGACTTCGGCTCAGGTCATGATCTCATGGTCCGTGAGTTCGAGCCCCGCGTCGGGCTCTGTGCTGACAGCTCAGAGCCCGGAGCCTGTTTCAGACTCTGTGTCTCCCTCTCTCTGACCCTCTCCCGTTCATGCTCTGTCTCTCTCTGTCTCAAAAATAAATAAACGTTAAAAAAAATTAAAAAAAAAATCAAGCTGAATAAGTTATGTTTTAAGAATAAAATTTCAGGTTTATTTTTGTACCTTAGAAGTTGATTTTATGATGATGGCATTCAATGTCTGCCAAATGTTGATTCTAACTCTGGCCACTTGGCCTTCGAGCAAAATGGGCAGTGCACTTGGTACATATCTAGGAAGAGATCATGTCCCATCCTTCTAACTCAGGAAGCCTCTGAAAGCAAGCCCTCCTCCAAGCAAAGCTCCATTAGTCACCTCTGCCACTGTGGCCATGTCGTTGCAAGAGTGCCTATCTCACTAGCACATATTCCACTTCTCTAATGGTAAAATTTCTGCCATGGTCAAGGGAAAGAAAATTTACGTGCTTTAGATAGATATAAGCACTATTAAATCAGGTACCTTTTGACCTTTAAGCAAGAAAATCTGACTTGGGAGGCCTTAAAAGGAAAAAAAAAAAAAAGAAGCTTCTCTATGTTGCTTTTTTTTTTTTTTTTTTTTTTTTTTTTTTTTTTTTGGTAAATACTTTTATCGTGTCTAAAATGCCCATGGTGCCCATGAGGAAAGTAGACTAGAATCATTTTATCATAGATACACTTTTCCAATATTATTATGGTTGTTGTGGAGGATGAAACAATGTATAAAACTCCCCCAGATTTAAACTCCTCCCAAGCCTGAAGTCAGGAAGCCACGTATACTGATACACTACTTAGAATATGAGAATTTGAAGCAACTTTTACATTATCTTTGTATTAATTACATTACCTTTAACAGCATGGGCAATATCCAGTCTGTGTGTGTGTGTGTGTGTGTGTGTGTGTGTGTGTATACATATATATGTGTGTATATATATATATATCTCCATCCAAATATGTATATTGGCACACAGCCCAACCCACCCATGTTTTTAATACAAAAGTGGTGATCAAATAAGCCAGACAAACAGGAGCTCCTTTATCTGTCTTCCTTGTCCATGTTCCCTCATTTTCCTATAAGCACAATGGACCATCCTCTGACCGATGTCTCCACTGGTCCCTACTACCATGCTGGACTTTCTGCTTCTTATACCAAATTAGAGAGTAGATTATAGACATCCTAGCCTGCCTTTCTTTCTTTTTCTCTTCTGCGCCAGCACCTTCTCAGCTGATTTCTGGAGAGACTCCACGATGGACTTCATTCCTTCCCTTAATCTCTCTCCCACTGCCATATCCACGCTTACTAGATTTTAACCCTTATAACCCCTCTAAAGAGACATTAGATTCAACTGAGGCATTAGCATTATTAATCTGGTGGATTTGGTAGTGATATTGTAGTTTCACAATAAAACATCCATATTTTTTGAGATGGACATTTAGTGTGTGAAGAAAATGGCAAAAAGTCTGAATTTCCTTAAAAACACTAGATAATAGCAAAAAACAAATAAACAGGAAGAAAGAAAAAAAGGAAAAGGAAGGAAAGAAAGGAAGATAGAAGGGAACAAGGGAGGGAGGGAGGAGAAAGAAAAAAATGAAGCAAATATGATAAAATCTTGATAATTATTGATTCTGGTAGATGGGTAAATGGGTATTAATTATAGTATTCTTCATTTGTGGTACATCTAAACATTTTTATAATAAAAAGTAATAAAAAGAAAAGCTTCACTGGCCTATTACAATTTGTACAATTGAATGTGAATAATTTAAAGGTCATGTGGGAGAACTTTTGAAGAACACAGATTAAAGTTTAGTTTTTGTTAACTGAGTAATATACAGCAATCAAAGTGTCCAAAGAAGAGAAATAGAGAAAGATATGTATGTGTGTGTATGTGTGTGTGTATCTGATTTCAAGTGCTTTACCAAGTGATTGTTTCAGACAAGGGGCTTCAGGGTCCCCTACAGGATCCTCCAGTGATGAAGTTATTAGGATAGTCTCCTAAGTATATGAGTAGGTATAGAGTTTCCCTTCCCAGCCTGAAAGGAAAGATGCATTTCTGGGGTCACAAATGACAATTCTGCCTGAATTCCTTCACTGAACCCTTCACCTCTGACCTTTCATGGCCTTTTAACATAGTCGTTGTGTTATTTGGACATTGTTAACCACCACAGGTCACTGAGGAATGGGCTAGGAATCCTCTCACTGGGAAGGTGTGAGTTCCAAGGAGTTCATGTAAAAATTGTAAAACTTCAACCTTTTGAGTCCGCATGCAATGTCAGCACCTACCTTCTCTTTATTGGTACTTTTTGGGGGATGTTATTGATAACAAAAATAACACGCTTTTACCGCATTGGTGCAATTTTATGTCAAGAACTCAGCTGACAACTCACAGAAAGAGTGACAGAAAAAGACAGAGAGAAGCAGCAAATACTTACACTTTGTCAAAGTTCTAGAATGCCTCTGCTTAAGCCTCGAGAACATAGGACTGAAATAATTTTTAAAAATAAAATAAAAAATCTATTGTGCAGGAGTTGGCTGCAGGCTTCATGAACCCTAGTTTTTTTGACTGTGTCATTTGGAGTTTCCCTTGGTTGGCAATAAAGGTTGTACCACATTCTGGGGATAAAATCCACTGTGCTTTTCCTCTTTGTGCAATGCTTTCTCCTGGTTTGGTAGAGACGTTGTAGAAGAATTGGTTTGGTTTCATCTTAGAATTGCACATTTCAGAAATAGTGGACTATATTCATCATACTCTTTTTCTTTGAGGATCACCATCCGTTTTAAGTCCAGTGAACTAGCCCTCGTGTCCTCTACATGTACTTGAATTTGGTGTTGGAATGAAAAATGAAGAGTAAGTAGAGAGGTGAGAAAAAGAGGTGAGAAAGAAATTCATTCATCTCCTCATTAGGGTGTGTGATTCAGATCTTCCTCTGACCTTAGCATTCTAACTGGAATTTCTGCCCATAAATGATAAATGATAAATGATAAATGATAAATGATAAATGACACCTGCTGCCCAGGTGTCATTCAGTCCATTAACAATAATGATGACATGGGTCGCATGGGTGGCTCAGTTGGTTAAGCAGCAGACTCTTGATTTCGACTCAGGTCATGATCTCACAGTTCGTGGGTTTGAGTACCAGGTCAGGCTCCGTGCTGCAAGTGTGGAGCCTGGAATTCTCTCTCTCTCCCTGCGCCTCACTCCCAAAATAAATAAATAAACTAAAAAAAAAATAGTGATAGCATTGCTATCGAACCTTACAAATTAAATCTATCATCAGCCCTATGCAACTAACAGATCAATCTGTTATTAATACAGTTTTACCTTGTTAACTGTGCTGCTTAAGTGGACAACTGGAATGTTTAGAAACATATTTTTATGACGAAGGAAATGGTAATTTTTTTATTTTCTAAAAATAAACTTTGTGTATGCAACATTCACAATAGGATTATTTTCAAACAGGAAATGATCCAAAAGAATATCATCAAAGAAGCCCACTGCCATCTCAGGGCTTTGTATGCAACCCAAAATAACACGTAAGTTTCAAAAGAGTGAAGCAGCACAGACCTTCATAATAATAGATACAGCACATCAAATTATTTTTCTGTGACCAGATTATGTAGATGCTACTAATTTTATTTGTTACAGTTAGAATAAATTTCACTAATTGCTAATCCTACCTTTAGGAGACGCTCCCGATGTTGATTCCAAAACAGGATTTGGTGTTATGCTTGATGTTGATACAGATATTTCTGTTGCACGAGTTGATGGTGATACACCAGTGATTGTGTTGTTAACACCTGAAAAAAATAGCTTATGTTAAAGCAGCTGCATTGAAATTTACAATTTATTTTGCCAAATAACACTAGTATATTTAAGCAAAGTAAACTGTATGTATACGGCTGCTAACCCAGTAAGCAGGGTATGGATTTGAAATTAATTTTCTAATTGTAATGAATTCAGCCTTCAGTTCAATATTCATTCACTAACTCCGCCTGCCTCTCACCAACGATGTGAATTTTCAAGAGAGCCGGCAGGAGCAGTCTATAGCTCTGAAACAAAATGATTCCTGAAACACTTAGGAGGAATAACTGTATACATTGAAATTTGACAATTTTTTTTATTTAAAAAATTTTTTTAACTTTTATTTATTTTTGAGAGAGAGAGAGACAGAGCATGAGCAGGGGAGGGGCAGAGAGAAAGGGAGACACAGAATCTGAAGAAGGCTCCGGGATCTGAGCTGTCAGCACAGAGCCCGATGTGGGGCTTGAACCCATGAACTGTGAGATTGTGACCTAAGCCAAAGTCGGCTGTTTAACCGACTGAGCCACCCAGATACCACTAAATCAGACAATATTTTTAAGCCCACTTCACTAACGTTGTGAGATGAACTAATTAAATGGATTTTCTCTGGGCAGTGGATGTTTTACTAAATATTTTCATAGAACACTGGAATTATTAAGTAGTAAAATGTCCGTATTCATACATCTCTTCTTGATATAAAGCATTCCCTCCACTCTCTTTTTCTAAAACATTCCAAAGGAATAAAATATATTTCATTTTTAATTTTTAAAAAATTTTTAAAGAAAGACCATACATTTTATTATTTATTTTTATTTATTAAATGATTTAGTTCTCTAAATTGGAACAAGCAAAGGCACAAAGATGAAGATGATAATTATTAGGTATATTACATATTTAGTTTTAATAATTCCTTTTTGGCAGTAGAAGTCAATATTTAATAGTAAGTTTTAAATTTTCATTGAAATATTTATTCGAAGTGAAGTATATAGAACTTAATTCTCAGTGATTTATGGAAATATTTGTTTTACACAATATTATTGAATTTGTTAGCATTTATAGAATCCTTTTAATCTTGAATTTGTTGGTCTTGTCTCTATACAGTCACTGTCGTGTTAAAGATCAGAAAATAGCAAACAAAAATGTATAAAGGTCTTGGACAAAGTATTCACGTCCATGGAAGGCATTGTTTCTGTGCTGTTACTTCATCTGTATAGAGTATATATAGTATAGCATGTTAGTTAAGAGTATGGACTTCGAGTGACAAAGACAAGTTTCAATGCCAGTCAAATTGGGTATGTCATTGCAGTAAATACATTGACTTCTCAAATTTAAATTTCATCCAAGATTTTCCTCTTTGAATTTGGGAAAAACCAATAATCTTGCACAGTTGTGAGCAATATTTCAGGTGTCATGAGATAGAATACGCTTCCTGTTTCATTTTATAGACTTGAGGTGCTTGGAAGTGTTAGCACTTGGCACTGACTTTGTTTATAGGCAGTACACAGAAATTGCTTGATGTATTCAATACATACAGATTTGTTCAGCACATTCAGGAATGACAGAACTGCCTTTTCACAGGCTTTACAGAAGTCAAGTCAAAAGCTTTTTTCACCTCTGGGTGCACTTCACACCCTCGGTCTCAACCCCTTCCCCCAGTAGGGAGAAGGAACATAGCATGCGTGAGGTTATCTCTTCTCTGTCAGTCATTTTGTTCTATCTTTCTTTTCATCCCAGAATCTTTGATATAACACTCATTTCTAAGTTGAAACTGAAGTTGAAGAAAGTTATTCAAAGAAGCACATTCCACTTTGACTGGAAAATTCACCTGTAAATAACTTAAATGATCCCTACCTGTCAACTTGCTAAATAGTAGCAATCTCAATTTCTGAGTATAATCAACATCCCTGGAGACTTTTTCCTATTTCTTTCCTCCCTCCCTCCGTTCCCCCTTTCCTTCTTCCCTTTATTTTTTGCTTCTATAAACAGTTACTGCATAACTAATATGGAAAGCATGATAAGATCTAATAAAAGACTCTATGTTGTACCACATGGTATCACCCATGAGTAGCTCTCAGTCTGTTAAGGAACATAATGCCTACACACAATAAATAATCAAGGATATTCTGTATGGGTTGTGTAGACCAGTGTTTTTCAAACTGTAGTTATGAAATAATTAAAGAGTAATTAAAATCTAGTTAGTAGATTACAGTCAGAGCTTTTGCCAAATAAAAGAGGAAAAAACATTAGAGTGATATTGCAGATAATGAGAGTAAGTATTGTTTCATGAAGTTTGTGCACGTGTGTGTGTGTGTGTGTGTGTGTGTGTGTGTGTTTGAATAAAACATTTGTCAGTGCACAATATGTTTCCTGCTGTGATTCCAGCTAAAAATTTGAAAGCTACCGGACAAGAAATTGGGCAAGAGTTTATAAGATAAAGGATGACCACCATGTTGACATGAGCAAGGACTCCGTTATGAATGAGCTATCATAGGAGCTAGGGCTTGAAGAGTAAGTAACACATCCACATAACTAGAAGAAGGGGTATGGACAAACGTCTGGAAGGGAAGTCAGAGGTGATTGAGCACCTTACAAACAGTTGTATCTGGTTGGATTGCTGTATGCTCTGAAAGAGCATAGTTGGCCTTGTCTGGTACAATGCTGGCAGCTAGATCATAAAGGACCTTGAACACCAAGCCAGGGACTTGAATCTTTATTAAGTAAGGAGCCATGGAAAGTGACCAAATAGAAATTCCACTGTAGGAAAAACAGTGGGGAAGTGGGTGGGGCAGAGAATGAGACAGCGCTAACCGAACTGATCTGCAAGTCCCATTTTTATGTTTACCAATGTCCATGACCTTTTGAAGTCATCATGTGAGATTAGTGAGTTCATATCCATAAAATGACTTGAGGCAAACTAAAAGCAGGCAAAATTTTAACCACTGTGTGGTAAGATTGGGAGGTACTGGGAGGCTTTTCCTCCTTACCATACTTCAACCCATTTGGCTACTGAGTTCCCTGAGTAAACTCTTAATCCAGTAGCACTCATTCATGTCTTTGTTATTAGTTCTTCAGACTGTCCATCAAAGAGAATGCCCTCCTTTGGCAAAGACTGACAAACAGCCTGTGAAAGTATTGAGTGTCTCTATGTGCCAGGTGCCATGTGAGCACTTTCTGTGGATTGTTTCCTTTAATCCTAAAAAGATACTGTGGTGCCCATACTTGTATGATCAGCACTTTACAGATGAAGACAGTGAGGTTCAAAAAAGATGAGCAACTTGCCCACACTACACAGTGGGAAGTAACACAGTTGCAATTTTAACCCGGAACCCCTTGAATCTTTACTCTTACCCACCACAGATCTTGCCATGGGAAGGTGGTTCCATGCAAAGCCACATACTTCTGCTCTGCCTTTCACAGGGTGTGATATTACAGGGGTAGAAGTGACTTAGATGCACAGATGTTTTGCCCTTATGTATCTAAGATGAGGAAGCAGACAAAATACCTCACTGTTTTTTTTCTTTAAAAAATATCATTTTGTCATATACATTACATACATACACATACAAAATGTGTCCCTCCATAAACATCCATAAAATAGACTTAGAGCTCCGAAGGAAATTTCCAATCTACTAAAGCTATTTATGTTTGAAAAATAAAAATAGAGATTTACTCAGTTGGAAAATTCCGCAAATAGAAATGTTCTTCTATTATATGGTGGGAAAGAATTATTCTAAGTACCACTGTTGAAGGTTTTATTGACCACGATGCAAGTAACCACCAGTTATGCTTTTACAGCATTTTCTATAAATTTCTCTTAGGTCGATCTGGTCTCCTAATAAACTATTGAGGATAATGGCTCATTCTGAAATATTTTCTCTTCACAAGACATGATGAGGTAGCATTTCATTTTTCTTTATCTCCAAAGTAATTAAAGACAAATTTAACAAGAAGACCTGTGCTTCGCATCTTTGCTTATGTCTAACCAAATAGTGCTGTTCTTAGGATGCTATAAGGAAAACAGATGGCATTTTATCCTGATTCCACCCTAGACTGAGAGAGTACAATAGATACAATGACACTAGTTTCCCATACTATTAAAGGATGAAGCAGGATTGGGATTTTTACAAAAGTAACTATTTTAATTACAGAAATCATGAGAACTTGGAAAATTTAGCTTACAGATGAAAACCAGGTATTGTATTTTTTCCTATTTTCAAATGATCTGGTCATCTACTCCAGTCTTCTTAGATGTACTTTGTTATTACGTTTCTAAGTATTCACAAGTAGTCTCTAAAAGTTAACATTTTAGGGGTACCTGGGTGGTTCAGTCAGTTAAGCTACTGACTCTTGATTTCGGCTCAGGTCATGATCTCATGATTCATGGGATTGAGCCCCATGTCAGGCTCTGCATTGACAGCACGGAGCCTGCTTGGGATTCTCTCTCTCTCTCTCTCTCTCTCTGCCCCTCCCTGCTTGCTCTCTCTCGCTTTTGAAATAAATAAAAACTTAAAAAAAAAGAACATAAAAGTTAGAGTGTCATCCATCCTCATAATGAGCAGGTATCTCTCTAGTTATCTTTTCCCCTACCAAGTCTATAAGCAAAGTCCACTGGAAAACCGCTACTAGAGAAGGTAGATCTTACTTCCTCTAGATGAACACAAACATTGAATGACAGTACCTTAGAATTCTAAGACTTGTGTCCTCAAAAGAACTTCTAAAAATATCCTATTGTAACAGAAACGCTACATTTCATAGCTTAGGAAATGTATGAGTTTAAGATAGTTTCAAAAGATCATAGCAATAATTACTAAAAAAGTTCCCTTAATTCCCAGTTGAGCACTCTGTATTATGTAACAGAGAAAGCCTTTTTTCCCCCCATTCTACTAAATGGAATACATTTCTGATGGAGACAATGTCAAAGTTTCCCTTTGAACTACAGGAGAAAAGATTTACTTTGCGAGTTTTATCCATAAACAAAATTTCAGAATAAAGTTTT